AGTGAGTTTCACCACATTTTACAAGTTGGCCATGCCCACCCAGTCACATGGCTGGCAAGCCACTCCCACCCGGTCACATGGCTGGCAAGCCACTCTCACAAAGCAGGCCACACCTACAGAAGAGGTTTTAAAAAAATTTGAAACTCACCACTGATTCCCAGTCAACTTAAATTCTAATCCTAACTCAAGAGGAAGATGAGAAAGGCTGATATATTTAGTAGATTTCACTTCTAGTCCTTTGGCTTATCAGATACTTTACTCCTTCTGCATTTGTCAATCTTTTTTAATTGAAGTTCAGGAATTGCCTTGCTCTAGCAGAGAAGATATCAATGTATACTCCATTGGCTGCTTTATAGGCTTATCACATTTAGCCTAGTTAAGAGAACCTAAGCTTTACTTTCCTTGGTTTTGCTAGAAGTCTCTGGGAGTTGAAGTCAAATGTATCTGAAGGGTTTCAATTTGGAAAAAGCTATTTCAATGTTTGCATTCACTTCAGGCTATTATTTCTTATCCTCATCTATCTGATAGTCTTTGACATTTTCCTTGATCTTACAGGCGAAACATCACAGCAATTGATCTATCAACAGCAGCACCAGGAATTTCTGAATTGCATTTTGAAGATTAGCCTATAAACTTGGGTAATGAGGAGTTAAATCCATTTTTTACCAATCTATTTCCGTAGAACCTGACTGGCATTGCTCTAGTGTTTACCTTTAATCTAAATAGGATGATGGTGATCCAAAGTAATGAGAAAAAAAACCTCTGAAATGTCACCCAGCAGTTTTTAGACACAGAAAAATCCTAGTGACAAGTTAACTTGTCATATGGAAGGACCAGAAAGAATCCTATAAATTCTTAAAAGCCTATTGTACATTCCACCTGCATTGTTTTTGCTTATGGATAAAATGAGACTCATTCTTAAGATTAGTATTGTGTATTTGCGCACAGAAAAAAAAAGCAAGAACTCACCACAGGCATTAAAAGGAGGGCCAAGAGTCTCTTCAGCAGGTCTGGCATTCTGTAACAACGAATCTGGTTTTTCCAAGTGGAATCTACAAATTCTCCATCACTGAAATAGTACGAAGAGAAAGAAAGCAGATTATTATAGGGAGTGTAAGGAGGTAACAGGCCAACCTTTTGGTACAAGGACATAACTTGGAAGATGGGGAGGAAAAGAACTATTCATTCATTCAGGATCCCTCACAGGTAGAGTGTTGCATTCATGTCAGAAACACCAAGATGCTTCCATGTTGAAAGGAATAGCTGGTGACATTACCGTTGGCCAGGGGATGCTCAGATCTCTGGGGGCTCTTTTCATGTCCCTGGCAGGAACTGAAGCAAAGGACTCACCCCACCCCACAGCAGCACTCAGGTCTTGAATGAGGGCTTGCTAACCTCCATCCCAATGTCCTAGCCAATAGGCTCCTCTTACAGGTAGGTAAGATTCTAATTTAAGAGAAGTTGTGTTAAGTAACTTTTGCTGCCAGAGCTCACTATAACAGCATTGCCAGAAAAGCATTAAGAGTTGTTAAGCTAATTTGCATAGCTTCTACTCCAGTAACATTATATTTCAAACTACAGCATACAAAACTTTTGTCAGACCTATTCTTGAATATAGCTTGTTTGCCTGGAATCCACACTGTATATTGGATATTAATACAACTGATGTTTATACTTATACCTGTTATCTCGTACATGTTTGACAAACTAAATGAATAAAAATAAAACCTGTCACATGATTCTATGAAAAGTCAAATAGGAAAAGGGGAGAAACAAAAGATTCAGACACTTCCTTTCCAGCAATCAGGCTACCAAATATTCCTGGTATTGGGAATTTGTAAGCGTAATTTACACTGCTCCTTGCTGGCACTTGATTTATAGAAAGAAACCAGAATAAAAATACAAGTGACTTTTTCTATGAAATTTTAGTGTTTAATCACTCACAATTTTTCCAATAATGTGGAACTTCCATCAGCATAGAGGCCTTTGGTAAAGAGTTCATCCACCAAAAAATCAATGCTAGGTGGAGTGAATGGTATCAGCTGAGAGAGGAAAGAAAAACAAAATCCATATTTAATGGCACACAATAAACTTATATAAAGAGTTACTCTGCTTTTAAAAGTTGAGCAAAAGCTGTTTATGGCTTGCAATTACTTCTTCCCCCAAATCTGCTAGAAGCCACATGTTCATCCATAGAATGAATGAAGCCAATTATATATAGGAATACAGCATAGATGCACAGCCTAAAGATCACGTCCCAAAACTACCAGATGGAGCTGCAAAAATGTGGATGATTAAGTGGGGAGCAAAAAAGCAAGCATTCTCTTTATCTCTCCATTGGCATTTAATAGTCATTTGGACTTTTGCAGCCCAAATATAGTGAGCCTCCAAAAGGGGTAATTGTAATTTTTAATATGACTGAAGAGAAAAAAATGATTGAATATACAGAAACCATCACACTAGTCAAGTTTCCTTCTAAATGAATCTAAAAACAAAGGAAACCAAAACAAATGAGCAATTGCCTTCCATTAGCTGCTTTTGGAATGCCACTGGCAGAATGCCATTCAAATGACAAGGCTATTGCTGGCACTGAATCCACCCAAAAAGATATTTAATCCTAGTGTAAAGCTTACAGTATGCCCTGCCTCCTGTAGCAGTTTTTTGGTTTCCTGCACAGCTCGTCTCATGCTGGGAGATGGCTGGAAATAACCATCTCCATCGTAGAATCCAATCCTAAGGGGACAGGTATTCGAGTAAATCTGAAAAGACACAAATCTTCATTTAGTCCGGTCACTAGGACAAGAAGAGAGCTAGTCGTGTTTTTCTAATACTGTTTCAAATCTGGGTATATCAGCACTCTGCCTAAGATCTAACAAGCATCCAGAAAGTGCTAATCAGCCTTTATAGATAGTCCTTGGATTACAATGGCAATTGGGACAGGAATTTTCATTGCTAAGCAATGTGGTCATAAAGCATGACATACATAGCTTAATGATAGCAATCCCAGCAATCCTCCTGCCATTGTTAAGCAAGGATTGTGTGAATCATTAAGTGAGAACCTCATGCAAATTTGACATGGGAGTAGGTGAGAATCCAGAAGCACTTGCTTATGCAGAGGAAAGCAGGTGAGGCAGGTTTGTGCTATGGCGTATGAGCAGGTAGACACTATGGAGGGCAATATCCAATCCTCCCCAGGGGCTCCTCAGGAGACAAAGCATCAGAAACAGGAGTGACTTGAAGTCTCCTGCTGGCTTTCCCATTGACTTTACTTGTGGGGAGCCAGCAGGAAAGGTTGCAGATTGTGATCATGTGATCATGGGTTGCTATAACCATTGCAATTATGAGCTGGGTGCCAAGTGCCTGGATCTTGATCATATGACTCTAAGGATACTATGACAGCCACAATTTCAACAACTGGTCATAACTTCAAATGGACTACCTGTGCAAAGGCAGAGGTACCTGTACCTAGAAGTCAATTTTCTGTTCTCTCCATGGAAAGGATGGGAGCAACTGCCTCTGATGATGAATCTTTGGCATGCATGCCACAGGTGGTACACATAGCCCTCTATGTGGGCACGCCAGCTACTGCCTAAGCCCAGCTCCACCGAGCATGCACGCGCACCTCCCACAAGCCAGCTGGTCTTCGGGCCTGTGCCATGCACGGGTGGCAGCATGATCTTCCCTGATCTCTGCAGTTCCCCCCCCCCAGCACTCCCTAACTTTCTCCGCCCAACATACCCTAGCTTTCTCCTGCATTTCTGCTGCCTGTGCCTTCTTTGATCTCCATAGGTTCTACACTCTGCAGGTGCCTCTCCATGACAGGAATGCAGAGAAAGCTAGGACTCGCTGGGAGAGAAACTGCAAAGATTGGGGAAGGTACAGGAGGCAGGAATGCAGGAGAAAGCTAGGACACACTGAGGGGGGGAGAGAAACTGTGGAGATCACGAGGCCCCTCCATGGCCCATTTTGGGCCTGAAAAGCCGTCTGCACCAACCTGGAAGCCAAAATGGGAGCCAGGGGTGGGGCGCATGCACAGAATGGGGGGTCCTCGCACTGCATTTTGGGGATTGGGACATGTCCATGTGCATTCACACACATATGCCCGCACTTTGGACAGTCAGCAACAAAAAGGTTAACCATCACTGGCCTTCTTACATATGGGAAAGAAGATCCTTGAACAATTCTGGCGAAAACCTACTAAGAACTATAATCAGACCAGTGGTGGGTTCTGGGAGGTACTGCCCAGTACAGGAATACCGGTGGTAGCTGGGAGCAGCATACCGGAATGATGGTTCGTTTGGCCCACCCACCTGCCCACATTCCTTACCGCTTTTTGATGCAAACGAGGCAATTGCACATGGACCTCCGCCAAGCAGCTGAGTGTCACTGGGTGTGCACATGAGCACGCGGCACGCATGCCCGATGAGGTGGCCGGGCCCCGTCGCAGCATACCAGTTGCGATGGGGTCTGGAACCCACTACTGAATCAGACCCCTCCCACACCCACACATGCACCCTGATTCATCACTACATCCAGTTTGATTACCTTGTCATTAAAGGGAAGTGGGGGCACAGCTGGATCCAGACAAAACATCTCATCACACAATAGGGCTTTCATGCACAAAACCAGGCTATCCACATCTCTTGCCATTGGTCCTGTCACAGAGATGACTAGAACAGAGAGAGAAAGGCCTCTGGTCTTGGTGAAGGAAGACAGAACATGGCTTTGAAGTAAAGTAAAGCTAAATGGTCCCCTGAGAATTGGCTTTCTAATAATTAGGGGATTTTGAACTTCTAAAATAGTTTACTCAAGTAGCTTGATTTATCTAGCAGTTTTTGACAAGGAAAATACACTCCTTTAGTTTTCTTGTGTAGTCATCCCATCTTAAACTATACTTTAAAATTGTAAATTACAACATTCTTCTGAAATATAACTATAAATGCAAATGAACCTGATATCTTATTATGCAACAATAAATAAATCCAAAATCAGTAGGGAAACAAACCAACCAAAAAAAGACATTGCAGTGTGACTGAGCAGTGATGGAGTAGTAGTCCCAGACAGTCCAAAGACCACTGGATGAGGATTATGATACAATAATGTCATCTGATATCTCCCCTTTTCCCCTACTAAATCCTTTTCAAATGTATTTGTTTACCATCAAACAAATTAGAAGTGGCCAAGAAGTTTTTAATAGCTTGGCTCTTCAGGAAAGGACATGAAAGATGTTTGAGGAGAAGGAAGGAAAAAGCTTGAGTGCAATTTTGGATGGTTGATTGAGTCGCAGAAAACCTAAGTATATATTCATCAGGAACCTTGCTTTTTCTCCATGAGCTGAATAACAAACACTTTATCAACCATAGATTTGCTCACCTGAGTTCATTCCAGGTACAGGCGTAGTAACACCTTTGACACTGCACATCAGCAAATGAGAAAAGCAAATTAACAATAGGCAAAGCCAAATGAAAAAAGAGACTGTCACGAAATACAGGTGTTATTGTTGAAGGAAACTAATGATACCCACAACTATTGGAAAGACACTAAGAATGTTTTCAAGATTATTCTTTACCCTTTAAAAAAGTAACAAAATCATAGCACCTTTCATTGTCCCTACAACATTGTAGTTTGGCTACATGTAAAGCTGTCCCAGAGTACACTATCTAGTATTTTTACTAAAGTATATCTTGATTGTTTAATTATGCTATTTGAATATACTTTGAATTCAAGCAACTTGACTTTCCTTCTTAGGAATTTGGACTAGAACTAACAACACTACCCAAACAGATTTGAGCTTTAAGAGAAAATTGACTTTAGATCTTCTGTACTTGCAGTGGTGGGATTCAGTCAGTTCGCACCACTTCAGGAGAACCAGTTGTTAACTTTTTGAGCAGTTTGGTGACCTGGTTGTTGGAAGAAATTATTAGGGCAGAGAACAGATTGTTCAATTATTTGAATCCCACCACTGCCTACTTGTAATATTTTCAGAGGCCCAGCCCTTTTTCTTTTAATCCAGGAGTGGAATACTATTACAATTATCTTTGTCTCAATCCTGACCTAACCACCCCCACCCAAGTCTTCTTTTCAAATCCCCAGGAAATTGATATATCTCCATGTACAAAGATTTATTCAGATAAAGTAGTACTTCATTAAGGGGATAGAATTACCTTCCAACAATTTTTCTTCCAGACAAAGAAAGGATGAGGACCATTTGAGAGGTTTACATTTTATATTGAGTCAGGGCTCAGAAGAGTTTACATTCAGTAAGAAAAAATGTTTTTAAATTAATTAATGCTATGCAAGATAATATAAGAATCATTGATTAGAATCCTTTCCTTAAGGGAACTTCCTGGGAGCCCTCAGTATCCCTAATAGAGCTAATGCATCCTGGGCCATTTTTCCTATTCCTACCATCAATAAAAACCTGGCAAAAAAGATTGCCTGCTCAAGAACTGAGAAATGGAGAGCGAAGAAGTAAAAGAGGTGGTGACATCATTAAGTAGGAGACTTCTGTCTTCTTTTCTATGCAAAGCAGCCAAATAAATGCACACATTCTTCCCAGTAAGAAAATATGCCCCTATAACTTTAACCTTAAACTGTCTGTTATTGACCTCACCCCATTCCTAAGAGGTCTGTAAGGGGCGTGCATAAGCGCACCATTGTGCCTACCATCACTGTCCTACTGCCCCCATTTATTTGCACCCATTTCATTCAAACTCATGTTTATTCTTATACCTATTATCTTGTAAAAGATTGACAAAATAAATAAATAATAAATAAATAAATAAATAAATAAAATCATGTTTTGCATTTAAAAAATATAGGGAAATTTCACACTTCAGCTATCTCCAAGCTGTGCCATTCCAAATAGATGGACTTTCAAAATTCCCAGCCAATATGACCATTCACTGCTATCCACACCATCTGAATGCTATATACCGGTACATAGCCATCTGGGGAAAAATGGGAGGAGGGATTCTTGACAAGAGTTGGAATGAAACAAAACGTTAAGAGTGAGGGAAGAGAGTTAAATATCAAGACTAACTAAGCAAGAGTGAATGGCAAAATATACCATTGTACGTAAGCTCTTCTACATATGTTCTATGGTTACTGTTTCTTTTTCACACATAAATATTGGAGAAATAATATAAATATTTGGCATACCTATTTTGGGAAAGTTGAGGGGGTATAAAACTGCAGTATTGTTTAGTATCTATACCTTAATCTCAATTCCAATTTATCTAAACTTCCTAGCCTGGCTATTCAACTTAGCAGTGGTGAATATCTCATGAGACTGAAACAATTCTCCTGGGATTTCCTGCTCCAGAGTAAACATGTGACTAACATTATCTGGTTTGAAATATATATTTGTTGAGTTTGTAATATTTAGCTTTATCCTGATTGGTGCAACATTTCCCTTCCCCTTGAAGTTTTTCAAGTGTTTAGAACATAAAAACAGATTCATTCTATTGGTGTTCTGTGAATGAAGCAGGGAGGCCATGGCTGGAATATGAATGAGCAGGACAGTGGTGGGTCCCGGATCCCAGTGCAACTGGTACGGGGAAAGTTGAGGGCAGGGATGATGGGCATGGGAGTAAGGGGAAGAAAGTCCCCTCTCAATGGCTCTCTGTCAGATGCACATTTCAACGTCTATAAATACCCAGGCAACGCCGGGTTATCAGATGGATTATGATATATTATCAACTACTTGTGAAAGTTGTGAAGAGAGCCAGTTTGGTCTAGTGGTTAAGACATTAGGCTAGAAACCTAGGGTTGTTGTGGGGAAAATAGGAGGAGGAATTATGTATGTGCCTTTCCTTGAGTTATTTATGAAAATAAAAATCCAATAAATAAAAATAAAACTTACCTCACTCTATAGCCAGTTGGTTTGAATCCACAGATCCCACAAAAGCCACATGGCACCCGAATACTTGCAGCCACATCTGTCCCAATGCCAAGCATGGATCCTCCCCCTCCAATAAGAGCTGCTTCCCCTCCACTGGACCCTCCAGAACTTTTCTTGTGGTTGAAAGGGTTCAAGGTTTGTCCAAAGACTGTATTGCCACAGTCAATGCTGCGTAGGAGGGGGAAAGACCCATAAGCACATCAAAGGCATGCAGAAGAAATCTATTTAATAACAGCTGTGGTGGCCTAAAGGTGGAGCTCTTTCCTCACAATCAGGAGGTTGTGAGTTCAATCCTAGGTAGAGGCAGATGTAGGGTCTCCTGCTTGGGCAAGGGGTTGAACTAGATGGCCTGCAAGATCCCTTCCAACTCTGTTAATCTGTTACTTCTGATTTTGCTTATGGTGGAGTTAAGACAAGAAATCCACGTGGCTCCCACTCTTGTAGAAGGCACTGAAGACATAATCACTTCCTAGGGCTTAGGTAGAAAGGAACTAAACATCTGTAAGATTTGGTTTTTGTCTGACATGATTTCTATTTCTTTGAATGCATCTCTCTTTGTTCTTTGCTTTTCTTGTTCTAGCTTTTTACAGTATAAAGTGCTCAGGAATCAGACTTTAGTTTTAAAAGACCTATGCATCAAAAATAAATAAAAATATTCAAATGCAAATTTCTATTGCCTATGCGTGGTGAGAATTTATCATACTCATCATCAAGTTGAGGAAGGCTTTTCTAACAGCTGAGCCATACATATCTGGAGTGAAACCCGGGGCTTTCTGAAAATTCAGTGACCAATTTTATTAATTAACAATTTTTTTGCCAGTTTAGTGGAAAACAGCCATACAGATTTGGCTAGACACTAGAAATACTAATTGAAGGAAGCAGTCCAGTCTATATGGGGTTTGGGACAGTGATTTTGCTATTATATCACTCATGAAAGGCAAACTCCTCTTCACATAGTTTCATGCTGGATGAAGTTTCTGAGAGCTGCAATTTAATTCATGATGGAGGGCACCATATTGGAGACAAATGAATTAAAACATGGTTTCTCCTTCTTCAGGAAGAAAAAAAAACTGTTTTAATGATGACTAAGGGAATAGAGCTAAAATCTAGCTCTTTTTTTGGCAAAAAAAAGTTATGCTGTTCAGAAAAGGCTACTTTTTAAATTTATTATAGGATATTATTAAGGAGATAGAAGAACTACCAAAATGATGACCCTATTTTAACAGATTAGAGTCATTTCTTGTTTTTAAGAACTTAAGAACTGCACATCGCCACCCCAAAAAGTGAGCAAATGCTTACTTTAATATGGCTTGTGATGTGTTGGTCTTTACAAATGGAATTGCCCCTTGTTTCTTTAGAACTTTGACTATTACAGAGTCATCGTGCTCAGGAAAGTCCAGAAATTTCACCAAGCCAAGGGAATTGGGAAATCCCTTAAAAGAGATAAATAAAGCAAATGATGAGATTTAGAATGAAAAAGTGGAGCAAGAAAATGTGAAGAAAAAGCATGTTGCAAATCATGTTCTGACCTAAGCTTCCTGAGACAGTAAAAAGCACACGCTTAATCCCAAAAAACTTTTATTTCAACGGCTGTGAATTATGTTCATTCACAGCCTGTAATGAGTCACAAATAGTTTGTAAAGTCTGCCACAGTCCTTCAGGATAAGGCTGATAAGCACCCACCGTTATTTCTCTTGAAACGCTGCCAAAGACCTAACTGGCAATTACCTTTGCAAGACTACATGGAGCACAGAGTCAAAATGGAGCTTCAGAGTTTAAACCAACCAGAACGAACAAAGTTGCTTCCTGCAAAGGCTCACGTGCCTTTGCTCCTCCTTTATGTCTTATGGGAGGGGCCAATCATCTCCAAGCCTTACTTGTGAGTTGTCCCTTTTGTCTTAACTGTTCTTGCCTTCTGGCAGCTCTGCACATCCGTGCACTGGGAACAGGCTCCCCTTGTTCCTCTGCCTCGCTGATGTCCGACTCTGGAGGCTCCGGAGGAAGCACATA